GAAAATACACTGCGGAAATGATATATCTGAAACCATACTGAATGGTAAATTGTTTGAATAAAGTACTTGAGGACTGCCTGAAGAAACGGATGCCTTCGTGGAGAATTTCCTAAGTGAAATTGGCTCATATTTGCTTGACGAAAGCTGAAATATGTAAAGCAGAATTTTCATTAAGTTAACAAAATATTATGATATAAACTGTATCTAATGAAGTCATTAAGTCTTTACAAGTGTGACCTTTAAACTTTGGTTCTGATATTAGTTGATTGTGACAAACTAAACAATCTTTTTTTCATTCAAGGACACTTCTAAATTTATAAAAAAATAATTTTCTTATCAAATCTGCGATTTCTCTGTAGCGAATTGTATTCTGTCATAAATGTTATTTTTCCAGACGAGTGAATGTGCATTAATGTTAACTGAAAGTCGTTAATTCGATTTTTTAAGTTACTGTGGTATCTTTTTGGGTTATTACGCTGTTATAAAGGTCATTAATCTTTCGCTGGATTTCAGTTTATTTCTATCAAAAACTAGCTGGTCATCAGAATAGGAGAAAATGTAACTCATAAGGAAAGCTTGCTGTTTTATCTAGAGGGGATTTCCAGTATATCAAGTAAAAGTTTAATAGTTGCATATCGTAAAAGAGCTTCTGAATGCAAAAAAAAAAAAATTTATGATAAAAATTATTTATAATTTCATTGATTAAAAATGTGAAATCCGTATTCATTTGTTGAAAATATTTTGTTCTGTTTAAGTACTACTTTATTAATTTAAAATTATGTAAGTATCTAGTTGTGGCTCTTGAATAAGTCCAAATATTAACATGCGGCTTTCGTAGGTTTGAATTTCAATCATGGCTCGTGTAGCATCGAACCCAGTTCAAAAAGCAAGTTATGAGATTAAAAAATCATTGAAAAACAGGAAATAACTTTCAATATATGTGTTATGAAAATATTTTACTTTCGGAACTGCTTGAAACTCATTTTTATTTAAAATAATAATTTTTAACGAGATATTTTACAAAAGTGTAATAAGTAAATTTAAAAATTATGTGAATTCGTTTCTTTTCTTCTTCATTTTTGAAACGTTTGATTATACTTTTGTCTTCTTTTATTTCTTTTGTGTATGTGTTTGTGTGTCTGATGCATAAATCAATGGATTTTCAATAATTAGCTTTTAACTTTCAGCTTTTTAATCCTTCACTGCGATCTAGAATGATCAACATTTAAAAGCCACGATTCTAATTACTGTATTTTCTCAACACTTTTAATCATTTCTAATATTTTGAGAAGATTTTAGCACCAAGCTAGACACCAGCATCTGTGAATTAGCACTCTCGATAACTATCTCCATGATCAGACTCTTGAGGAAAAGTGTGGTTACATATGTTCGAAAATGATCTGAAGGAAACATGCTTCAACTTAACAACTGTCTTTTTAATGTTTCAAGCATTTTATGCCTTAATCGCCATATTCCATTCTCTGCAAGATTATAGTTCACTTAGTTTTAAATCTATGAAATAATTTCACAGTAAATGTACAATGGCTAACGTTTGGGGTAAAAATAATCGCTTGTATGATTCATACTCTTTCATTTCATTCTAACTATTATATTCCTTTTTGTCTGGCAGATTTATACTAATGCATACTTGAGATTTTCATAAGATCTTAAATGTGATAGGCGTTTTGCTTTTATCTAGTCTTTTTGTCAAGATTCAACTGACATATGCATTTTTTGTGTCAGCATAATTAAAATAATTTTATATAAAGTGAAAACCTACATGCGTTGCTCTCTGATTAAGTCTTTGAACACATTTTTAAACCTCAAGCTTCAACTGAATTAATTAGACTAATGTTTTCCTCTATGGATTCCAGAAGTCTTTTGCTTACAGACTTTTAACTTAACTGGTTCATCATCGACTTTCAAACAGAAATAAACACTGCAGGTAAAATATTGTACGAAAAATTAAAAGCGATAATTAGTAAGGCCATATTTGAGAAATAAGTAATGTCACCAGAATTTTTACCAAGAGAAACAGTTTTAATTCTTACTATCATACTCCAAGTGAAGTAGAGAACACAAATTGATGATGCGCAAGAGAAAACTATATATAAGTTTCTTATTACATCATATTTTAAAATGTTGTTTCTTATAACACATTATTTAATTAAGTTGATAGTGTATGCTGAACGCGACAGAACATTAAAAACCAGCATTATTTTTATTAGTTAATAATCAACAAATTTTAAACTTTTTTGACGCTATTTTCGATTAAAAGGCTGATGCACTGCAAAAATGAGTTTTTCCCTTCAGAAATAAGCAAAATGCTTTAATAAAATGCTTTAATTAAGCAAAATAAAATGTTTTAATTAAGCAAAATTAAAGATGAGAGATTCCTCCCTCCCTCCCTCCCACTCACACTTTTGTCTTTTTATCTGAAGATTATCCCAATCGACAGAGAATAACAAATACACTCTCTCTTTATACATAGACATTTTTACATAAATTTTAAAACCAGGATCATAAAATTACTAATGGTTTGTTGTTTATTTGAAAAACTTTACGTTCTAAGCAATCGCATGTAGCTTTTAATCTCTTAAGTCCATAATTATGCCCACCCTTTATGATCTACAAAAACAGAAATAGTTATACGTTAATTAAGAAAATGACAACAACTCTGTATGTCTTTTATTTAAAAATTGATTTTGTTATGCTTATTATTGATTATGCTGTGTGTCAATAACTCTTCTGTGTTAAACTATTAATGACATTCCAATTGCAGTTTAATGCACCGCTTGAGATAATTCTACAAGAATTATAACCATAAAAAATAGATCAAATCCTAAATATAGATTTAAATAGAAATACTTTTAACTAGCATTTAGTTTGCGATGGACTGGAATGCATATCCTGCCAAATAACAAATAAAACTAGTTTCTGTCATGGAGTCAGTGCACTGACTAGCATATTAAGAAAATATAGAAATAATTTATTCATACCTTAAACACAGAAACAATCCCGTGTTTAATATTATCCTCTATTTGGCGATTGTTTTCGTCTAGATTGAAAGATATGAAATGAATGGAAAATTAACCCTTTATTAAAGTAACATTTTTGCTCTGCGTATGCTTAAAATATTAAGCAGCCAGCTTGCAGTAAATGCAGCCAGTAAATGCAAGCAAATTTTTGGCATTTTATAATTTATATTAAACTGAAAATTTAACTGAAACGATTCCTAAATTAAATCCAAATTTAGTGCTAATGAAATGATTATCAAAGGAGTACTTGCTGCAAACAAAAATTTTAGCATTTTAGAATTTATATTAAACTGAAAATTGAATTAAAACGATTCCTCAATTAAATCCAAATTTAGAACTTTTCAGTGCTCCTGTGATAATCATTACATTAGAATTTGACTATGTTTCATTCCGTAATATGCAAGATAAGTTAAATGCGTTGATCTCATTTTAAAAATACAACTGTAGGCTATGGTATTACATTAAAATAATATTCCTTAACAAATAAATGCATACTAATACATCTAAAAGGGTGCAAGAATGGTGTAAGCTCATGCAGAATCTTAGGAACTGCTAGGACTACGCAATTGTCAACATTAGCTTGTTAATGATTACACATTAGCTTCCTCCACCTCTGACTTTAGCATTAAATATCCTCTGGGAAACTTATTACATGATAGGCGAAGACCCCAGCTCCCCCGGCCGAGCGGCCCTTTCTCCCACATTTGCTGACTAACGCTAACAATCATTAAAGTATTGCATGACAAATATTTTAAAATGCAGGACAGTTTAAATTATTTTTTAACTGAAATTATTTTAGTAGTAACAATATAAAATTTCATTGCTCAATTCAGCAAAATATTAAAAGTGTGGAATAATCATAAATGACAGTTATAAATAAAATTTTTCTATATTAGCTTTGTACGCATAAATTTTAAAAACAAATAAATAACTAAAAAACAAATTAGTTTTTTTTCAGGATCATTGAAAAAACACTGAGGCTAATAACTTCAAAATTAATGTTCATATTACTGAGTTCTTAAACAAACACTTCAATTTATAATATCAAAATCGTTTAAATTATAAAATGCATTACAGAGTCTAAATTAATGTCCCTTAACTGTAAATTATGAAATATTTTTAACTTGACACATCTTTAGTTTGAAGTTCGATGTTAAAAACTTCATAAATCTAAATTTAGTGTAAATAGAAATTTCGGTAAAAAATACAAATTCACGTATGCACATTATTATCATTTGAAAAGATGGTTTTGAGAAATAATTCTTCTAGTTGAAATTAAAACAATATTTATATATTTGTATTAATTTTTTATCATTTTTGATTAGTTTTATTTAAAAAAATTGTTTACCTATTTTAATTCAATTTTTATAATCGTTTGTTACATCCCATAATATAACCCAATTTGGCTGACGTTCACGAATTATTCTTTCATCAGCTCAATATATACAATTTAAACAACAAAAATGATATTCAATAAAGGATCTTTTAATAAATAGAGTAGGAACGACAAAAGAAAAAAACTTTACAATTTATATGAAGCATTTATTTATATTTTAAAAAAGTGAAATGAAATCAAATACTCATCAATCAGATTTTTAAATCGAAAATATTTTATAAGGGGGGGGGAGAAAGTTTTATCTACTGAAAAACGTTCGTGTGTCAAAGCGAACATTCTGTCTACAAATGTCGATAAAAAGTCATACGGAACGGCAATGTTTAAAATCGCATGACAAGATATCCAAATATAATTACGCTCAAACAGTAAACGTTTCTGAAGAGAGGTGGGGGGGAAAATTCAAAAATATTACCCGCATCACGGTAGCATCTTAACGCAATCAGCATATAATCGTCTGCGACCTCCCCATAATAACACCAACCTGGCTGGTCGCCACGAATTCTTTTTTCATCAACGCAATAAACAGGTTGACGAGCATGCATACAGTGACTTAAAGGATAACTCACATGGATCATTTTCACGTCCAGATTTCGATGCCAGACTTCCGACTGGTTACTCGTAGACCGTGGACGGGTCGGTCAGCGGACACATACGGACGTTGTGCGTTGGGGTCCATCGTTCTGTTCGGTACGATACCGGCGCAAAACGGTAGGGAAGCGAAGAGCAACAAGATCATCGATTTGCTGCTCGCGTTGAGGAGCTTCGGCGAACGCGCATGCCGCTTTGCATTTCCAGGCCAGGGAATTTTGTCTGCTCGGATGGCAACGGTTCTCGGCAGTTGCTATGGCGCCCGATAAATAATGCGTTTTGTTTGGTTTTTATGAATAGGAGAAAGGAGGAGATATCGTGGAGAAACGACACCGTTGACGTGATAACACCTGATGTATTCCTACCAAGATTTAAGGATTATTCACTGTTTCTGTTTCCAAAACCTGCAAAAAAATTTCGTTGGAGAGTTATAATAATTACTTTTAAATAATTAATCATCGGATGAATCGTAAGAGGAAAGGCCTTGATAGAATTAATAAACGATAGGGTTAATTCCTATTTTAAAGAAAATAACCTTAGTGAACTTCGACTTTATATCCAAAAAATTAGGTCTCGCTGTAATCATTATTTTTGATTTAATTGCGATACCAGCTGTGAAAATAATATGATGCATCACTTTCATGGTTTCGCTCTTTGAATCCATCTTCACTCTTTGTCACTATGTTTAGCAGAAGAGGAATCAAGGTAATGGTCTCTAAAATGTTCGACTGAGAGAGATTAGATTAGGTTATATGTTATGGAGATAACATATTTTCATTAAGGGAGGAAATCATTCGTAAAACATATACAGATTCTGTAAATTTCTCATTCTCAGTGCGCTTCTATAAGTCAGGTTATTCATGGCCAAGAATATTCGAAAATACACACTAAAAGACGTCAGAAAAAAAAACTACGCTAAAATCGCACGGATTGGGTTTTGTAGAGACTGTAAGTTAACTATAAAGATATCTTGCATTAGTGATACTGTTTAAGGGAGATAGCTTCAGACATTATTTCCTTAACTACTGATTCAAGATATGATTCTGGCTATAAAATTTCTCTGAATAATATGGAGAATTTTATGAGAATATTTTTAGTTAGAATAGTTTTTAAAATGAAAAAATTAACTTTTTGTATAATAAAGCAAGAAGTCGAATTAAAAAATGTTTATTCTACTTTAGCAAGTTAAATGCAATCACTTTCGCGCCTTTACGCTCAAAATACAGGCAGATTTGAGACATTAATAATTTATTAGAAGCCAGTCACACTGTGCTGTTTTACCCATTATGATTTAATTGATCGCTGTTTATTTGGTAACTGCTACCTGTAGTTTTGAGGAAACATTAAGAAATATTTCATTTAGGAGGGAAAGTGTGGGTTTAAAAGTGGTGTATGTCAACAAAGTTATTTCCTTGTAGTTTCATTAATTTGGAAAGTAAAGAAACAGAATCTCTTTGAATTTCTTAAAGGCAGATGAACATTTCCGGGCATTTCTTTGAGCATTACCTGTCCAGGAAGCATATAAAACTAAATAAAACCATATAAAACTTAATTTTGCTGTTTCAGAAGCAGTCTATCGAGTGCTAAAATTGTTTCCGTAAACCTTTCTATCGTATTTCATATAAATTTTAAATATTTAAGATCAATATTTAAGAAAGTGAAACACGCAGCCACTTTCTTGAAAGCTTTTCATAAGTTAATCGAAGAGAAAGTCTAAAAACTTCGCTTTTCTTTTTACATGACTAGCTAAAAAACGCATTCAAACTTACTTACCTGACTATCTCAAAAATTCTTGTAACTTCAAAAATTGCCTTATATGAATTGCTTATATCATCAAATTTGTTGCTAAGCTCGATAAATTTCGATATAAAATATCTTTAGTTATCCTAAATATATTAAGAACATGTTAGTGTTCTAAATATTAAATTTCTTGTATTTAAACATAAAACACTATTTGGATACAAGTGATAATATATTATAGTGAATATTCTTTAAGATGACCCCCCACGGTCCCAGACAGTTTTGATGAGATGGTCGCTTAAATTAACATAACTGTCGATGTAATTTTATAATTATGCAAAGTAATTATGTATGTTTATTTATATAAAAATATTATAATAATATTTTTACGAAGCCTAATGAAAACTCCTCATAAAAAATTACAGCAACGCAAAATTATTATAATTCATCGGGTGTAGAACAACAAAAATTCTCAGCTACCGTAATTTTTCAAGGAACTCTAAAAACTGCTTAATAGAACAAAGGAGAACGCAGAGGGAAAAAATACAATGCCAGTATCTTAAATTTCATTAATTACCGAGACTATCTTTTGGTACTTCCCCTACTGATTGTGCTTGCGAGACTCTTCTTCCTCTGGAATATAAGATTCGACTAACGGAAACAGAATTGGATTATATGTTTCTGTCGTTACAATGAGATTGTAATTTATCGGATAAAACCAAAAGATAAGAATTAGAATTTTGTGCGGTGTTATGAATGGCTAATGGCAAAAGTTCTCCAGTATACGATTAATAAATCTTCTTTACCAAATCTCAATTTTAAGGTTAAGTCTTAATACTTGTGAGTAATTCTCTGCCATAGCTGAATAACTGTCTATTTGTTCCCCGGCCTGATAATTTATTACTTTTTAATTTTTCATACAGTAAAACCGCAGGATCAATATTATCACCTACTTTTATTTTCTTCAGCTCTGCTCAAAATGACAATCATTCTATACTTTTTCCTTCAAATTTGAATTTTTGGAAGTTTAAATTTTTTATTCTGCAAGATATTTACATTAACAAAAAAAATTGTTTCGTTATCAATATCTGTTTTTTTTTTATTTTTCTCATCTAACATTACTTTGACCTTAAAATAGTTACTTAAATATATTGTTCAACATACTTTCGATTTCAATCTCCTCTTCTTTTTGTCAGCTTCTAACATAAAATCCATTAATTGTCTATTCAAGTATTGAAGCTCCTCGAAGTTAACCTTTAAAGTTTAAAACTTGGTTTCCGCTTCAAAAATAGCATCTGCATCTGTAGAGATATTAAGTATTTTTTGAAAACAGGACAGATGAAAAATGGGCAGTACCCTTCCCGGGTCTCGAACCACGGATCTCTCGAATATGCGCTGAGCGTTCTGACTATTACACTACGAAGGCATGCTAAAAAGGCAGGGGAAATACGTTATACACTCCCCCTTTTAAAGGCCGGCAGGGGATTAGAGGACCCTATCGCCAAATCCTGGTGGTGGAGAATCATCATCCAACACTTTCAGTTCAGGCACCACTGTAGAGACATTAGGTATTTTTTGAAAGCAGGAGGGATGAAAAATGGGCAATGCTTTCGCCGGGAATAAAAAACCACGGACCTCTCGAATACGCGCCGAGTGTGCTGACTACTACACACGAAGGCATGTTAAGAAAGCAGACGAAATACCTTATACATCTTTTTGATAAGTATTTACAAAGATATTGCTAACAAGCTTTGCAACCGAACTTTTAACCATTTCTGCAACTTAGACGTTTACAAATGTCCCATTATCGTATTCCAAAATGTTGGAAAAGATCTGACACCAGTGATTTCTACTAATCAATTTCATGTAAACTGGCATTTAAAAACTGCCTTTTACAATAAAAACATAAGTTTATTAACAATAACATTTATTTACAATAAAAACATAAGTTTATTAACAATAACATTTATTTACAATAAAAACATAAGTTTATTTACATAGGAAATTAGGTTCGAAATAGTTTCGATTTTACATACCGTTCACTGTAGAATTAAACACTGTTGTGAATCTGCAATGGCTAAATACAAGCAAGATATTAACAATGGGCAAACAATACTATTTAGTAGCGTTTTTGCGTTACTCCAGGGCTCAGTTTCCAAAATCAGAAGTGCAGGATCCCTATGGAAGGCCGTCAGGAAGAAGGGGGAAATTTAATTAAATAAAATAACTAATAAAATAATAAAATTGGCTAATAATTAAAATGACTAAATCATTAAATTAAAACTCAATAAAATATAAACATATAAAAAAATTTAATAAATTATTACATTATATTAAATAGTTAAAAAAGAAATAAAATATCCGGTCTCATTTCACTTGGAGCTCTGGCTGGACTTAAATTTCGTTCAGAAAACTAAGCAAAAGCTTAGCGGTCTCCGGCTAAATTCAAGTTTTGAATATAGGGTATAACGTACTACTTCAAGAAATAAAAGCCATTCTTTTTTTCAGCACACAAATGAAGAAAAGTAAATCGATTAAAATGTCACTACTGAGAATACAGTGATTACTATAAACAATATGAGGGTATGAAAATAATTTAAATGGAGAAGTGTAGCTTCCAAAACAAGGAGAGAAGAGCCTTACGCTTTCTCACCGGTCAAGCAGAATGCAACTGGGCAAAAAGACTTCCCCCAAATCCGATCCGATAACAACATGAGAACAAACATAAGGTCTGCACAAGTAAAAAATTTTATCCCCCTTATTTGGTTACATAATTGAAATCTGCAGGAGCTCTGCAGTGAGAAGTCACTAGCACTGGACGTTCAAGACCAAAATAACCACTTTTAGTACTTTTGGGGAATAAAACCTTTTTCCTGCTCTCATAAATTCATTGGAGAATAAGTCTTTTACATGTGGATGGGGGATTTTCTTTCCTTAAAAGTCCTAACACCTCCGTCTTGTTTATTCCCCAGAGAAAACCAGGCATGCATTCGGAATTTATAATCGCATATTTATTTTCAAAATATGTGTCCTTTAAAATTGCGTTTCATTTACACAAAGAAGTGCAGGAGCCCTATTATATGGGGTTCCGGTGCGCTCCGGCTAGAATCACGAGTTACCTCAGAAACTGATTGGTCGTGTTCCATTATTTTCAAAAATTATAAAAAATAAAATTTTTTTAAGTTTTTCTAAACCCAGACCACCCATCGAAACTAAATAATAAAATCTGACTACATTACTATAGTGTAAGATGAAGCTCTACCACATTTCTCTATTACTTTAGACTGCGAAAGATTTGCTAAAGCATTACAGGATCATACTCTGAAGGATCTCGCCGTTCTGTTTCATTTTCTTCCCCCTCGAAAAC